ATCTGTGCTTCGTAACTAACATTTTTTTGTGTTTAAAGACTGTTTGGTTAGTAAACATTACTTTTGTCTAAAAAACATGTCAAATAACAAAACCTTTATTAAATACATAATTCATGCGATTTTCTGTTCAAGACAAGGTAAATCTATTTTTCGCGTTGTTATAACAACAACCTATTTTGAATATTTCTATACAACAGATGTAGCTCGTCGACTTTGTATACGAAATTTATATTTTTTTCTAACATTTTTAAAACCATTTTGTTTAGGATTTTATAAAAACTATTGAAAAATAATTATTATTAAAATTCGCTCATTATATGCGGCATATTTATAAAATCATAGAATATTTTTCAACTTGATCAAAATTTATTTTAAAATGATAGAAAAATTCTAATTTCATTATTTTCGAATAAATTCTAAAATTTAAAATGTGTCCCCTTTTAACTCAAAAAAATTGCTTGATGAATTGTTCAATTACAAATTCAACTACGCTGCGTTTGAATTCCTAGCATTTCCCTAAACATATTTGTGCACATTCAACTATTACTAGCCATCAAGCTGGACATCTCCAAATTTGCATCGTTCCATCCAACTTGCATTTGGGAAACCAACGCGTTTGTCTCCGTTTCCTCGAATGCGGATTAGCCGGCGGAGAGCGTAGACAATGCCAATCGATATTTTGGGAGCGGGAGAAGAGTGGGGGGGGGCAGGGAGGTGCCTTGGATGCTAATAAAACAGATGGCCGAGTCCTTTTGACTTTGTCCCCCCGCCACTAATATGTGGTTTTCCGTATTCATCCCATCGTTTTGTTTTTTATTTTCGTTCTACTACCAACCAAATGCATTTCCATTGTTGCGTCAAAGTGCAACGAATTGATTCTTGTCACACACATATATATATATATATATATATTTCAACGGGACCCTGTTACACCAATTGTCACATTACACGAAGCATTTTTTTCTCACACATTTGTCTTCATGTTGTGTTGAAACAATCTTCTTCATCTCCTCTTACTTTTCATTTCTTTTTCGCACATATATCAATTCCTTCTTGAAAATTTCAAAAAAAAAACCTTTTGGAATGTTTTAATTTTATAATAGCTTCGATTATTTAAAGTTATGTAAATTGACTTTCAAAATAGAAATGTCGAAATGTTGATGATGGAATATTCCGGTAGGCTTATGCGTTTTTTTTCTGAACAAATTTCAAAAACAAAAAGTTTTTGAGCTTCTTCCCACAATGTATATAAATTCCCATTATGAATTATGAATGTCATGTCTCATTTCGTCTTCCTCATGGTTTCTTTCGGCTATACTATTTATCTGACCTTCTTCTCCTCTTATCATATGGCAAATATTGGCATAATCATTTATCTGTGGGACCATTTCTTCACGATTTCGCCATCAAATTTCTCAACGCGTTTACGAGCAAATTGGTGCGAACAAAAGGTCTATTTGCTCATTGTCTTGTGTTCGGTCGGCAACATTTCTTTGATGTCAGATATTCGCCAATTTCCGATATGTATCGGCAGACCCCTCGCCACTACTATTTTTTTCGCGTAAGGTTGAGAATCGCACTCTATCATCTATAGTGTTATATATATATGCCCAAATTGGATTTATAAAGTGCAGTTTGGCGTTTTTTCTATTATATTCAATTAGCTATCCAACGGTACCAGTTCTGTCGCTAATACAATCAATTTGTTTTCATTTTGAATCATGACCCGTTAAGCAAACAACATCCCTTTGTTAGTCATCCTTTCATAAAAAAAAACTGCTTGATTAGCATAAAACATACAAATATCCTATATGGCATTCTTTTCCCCACTCCAAAAAAACTATACGAATATCTAACAGCAGCGGCAGCATCATAAAAAAAAACGATGGGTGGATCTGTTTATGATATGGTGTTTGTTTAGAACCCTTCGTTTCTTCCTTTTCTCAAAACATAACCGCTTATACATTTTTTATAATATGCACATATATGTATTTATCTTTGGGGGACAATTTTATTTCTGGTAGATACATTTTTTGGAGGGTTCTTCCTCGTGAAGAAAGAATAACAAATTCTTGGCCGCTGAATTGAAAAGCAAATATCTCGTATTTCGCCATTTGAAATTGTCCGCAAATCTGATCCTCGAAAAGCCTTATTGAAATGAAATTGCAACGACTTTTACACCATGATTTTGCGCCAAAAAGAAAGTCTTGCGTTTTGCGAACGCTACAATTCAGTTATGGTAAAATTTGATTATTTGTACTTGACAAACCAAACTAAACCGAAAATGCGCACCTTTTACCGTCACGTCGAACAGTGTAGAAATAAGAGCATGGTGTGACGGCAAAATTTGCTCAACTAACTTGTTTATACAAAACGCACCCCAAAAACTAATTAGCATTCATCGCCGAATCAATGGCTGGTGGTGTACGCTCGTTTGGTTTTACGCAAACTGTTCGCAGTAGTCGTTGTTGTCGAATGTCTGCGCGCTCCGCGATTTTACACGCTGCCGGACACCGTCTCAGCGGGCGTCATCGGGGCCCCGCAGCCCAAGAAATGCGGGACTCACAAACGCTAACCTTTTTGTGCCTCCCCCCCCACTCCTTCTAACCTCTTTGCTTACTTCGTTCTCTGTTTCGTCAAAATTTTCGTTTGTCATTGAGCTCCACAGAGGGTTGACCCAATTGAGATTGACATCAACTCTTGTTTGCTACGTTTCCCACCGAGTTTTTGTCATAAAGGAATTTTTTTCCGTCATCCTGTAGTGAAGGGGGGATGGCTTGCGTTGTATTATCGCGGTTGCACATCTGCTGCGCACTCAATGATATTTTATTGTCTTTGTACGCACTTGCTCAAATTTACTACCGTATACGATGAATGACGCCCTCGAATTGTAACATGAGACCATTTATGCATATGTATGTCAGATCGCTGCTTTGATTCATATTGTATTTCGCATTGTTCCTGATTCACAATATCGTTTTCTTGTAATGCTTCAGTGTAATATACATCCTTCAGTATTTCATGCAATTTTCCATACTTTTAAGTTAAAAAAACAGGCAAAATTGTACCTTTTGTCTCAAAAAATGGAAAGAAAACCATATGATTTTCTTTTTTTTATTCTTAAAAAACTTTATCAAACGACTTCTCTCCAATGCACAAAAAATAGATCAAACATATGACATGATAATCTTTGCGTTATCGATTCCCCAAAAAATTAGTGATAATACAGACCCTAGCGAGTTTCTGAACCCATGTATCAATCATTGCGACGCAAATATTTACCCACTCTTGTTGAATTGCAATTTTATGAGCGCTACTGCACCTCATATATATGAAAAGCGCAATTTTGCGGTTTGCCACTCTTCTCTCACCTAACTCGGAAAAATCCCGAAAACTAATCCAAATTAAAAAGCGCATGAGTGAGGGGAGATGGTTAAGTGCGGCTACGTACTGCTCCGCCAGTTGCGAGCGTCGTCCATTATGATGAATATGCGTGACAAGGTCTAATGGCGAAACCAGCCCCCCCCCCACCGATCCATCGTCAAATGAACATTCGGTGGTGGTTTTTGCCCACACACCTTCTCGTTTTGCCCCAAAACGCTTCAATCTATATAGAAATGAATATAATATATATCTAATTTGAGCGGACGGAACGGGTCGCGCGCGCGCGCCCATCTCTCCGCGCACCGCATCGCGATTTTTGATTGATCGCATAATGCTGAGCAGAAGGTGTATGTTGTGATCGCTGCATTGATATATGATTATCATATTCGTTTGCATAATCAATACGTATTTTCTTCTTATTGTTTCCTTTAAATTCCCCCACAAACTCCCCATTACTGACGGGTTTCAGCTTCAAAAATTATCTCATGTACCCTTGACCTCTTCATGATCAATATCATCTTCTCAAGAAAAACAATCTTGGTTCTCCGTTCTTTATTAATCTCTACCTCTATCAAAAAAGTAAAACAAAAATTATATAATAATTTATCTGTAAAGTACAAGGCACTGTTTAATCTGGATGATTTGTGGAATTTGGATTATTAATGTTTCAATTTTTTTTTCTGAGGAAGAATGTTCGTTAGTCAGAAACGCTTTAATCGTTTTAGTTGGTTACTCATTGCTTAATCACTCGTGAAATTTGATCAAATTCTTTCAAAATATTTTTGTTGTTGATAAACACAGTTGAGACTTTTGTGTTGAGGCTCCCGATTGTTCTGCCAGAAAAAAAATGAATTTTTTTCGACGCGCTTCAACGCTTCGCATTGTGTTCATCTTTATCAGTGTTCAGTAATGCATACTAATAAGTTGAAGGATGAATGTCTGACAGCTATGCGCGTCGACGACAGAAAATTTCGTTGCCGGAACGCGAAGAGAAGATAACGCAATTTGTCGAGCCATTCCTCAAAAAAGGAGAAAAGGACAGCCGACTTTTTACCCAAAAAAATGACGTTTGACGTCGAACAAAAAGACAACGATGAAGTTGCAAATTTTCGGCGAAACAAGCCTTTTGTCTTGCGAATGTATCATTCGTTGCCCGTCGGCACTTCCTATCTCATTACTCTTTACGGAGAACCTCCTCCCCCCCCCCTCGTCTTCGGCTTTCTCAATTTATCCCCAATGCCCCGTCGGCACATCGATTCTTTTCGCTTTTCTCCTTTTTTAGCTGGTTGGCTACTTTCAATTACCTAGCATTGGGTAGTGTCTCGTCTGTCGATTCGCGGTGGTAGTCGAGTGTTAATCAGTTTTTTAATGATGCGTTGTTAGCGTCTCATCAGGTTTACAACAATTTCGGGGCAATTTCCCACATCTTATTTCGTCCGCTATATATTTTTTAATAGTGTTTCGTGATAGCCCACCTCTTCTTCCTCCCTCCTCTCCAACACCTTTTCCTTTCCTTTCTTCATTCATTCGCCATCATCAAACTTTTCTCGCCATCGCACCGCCCCATCTCCCCCCCCCCCTCATCTTCCCGCAATCACCCAACGTCTCGATTTTTAATGCGCCCGTTCTTGCAGGTATATTGCATTTGATAGGTTTTCGTCGCGCACACGCTTGCGATGTCGATGGGATAGAGTTTTTGATTTTTGACGCGTTTTTTTTTGTCTTGTTTCACCGTGTGATCATCTTGAAACCGTGACATGACACCGCAAATTTCGCATTTTGCGATATCTATTATTCTGCTGTTATTAGTGCTATTCGAACCGGTAAGAAATTTTGCCTCAAATTTTTAGGGGGCGGCATTCGCATTTCTGATTGAGTCGACGCAAATTTGTGTGTTTTCCAGACGTGCGCTGCAAACGAGCCCAAGGGAAAAGTGCGACTCAAAACAGGAGTTAGCCTCAATTCCACAAATGTAAGTTATTCAGTAGCAATTGGCTCATTTGATTGCCCTCGAATGCGCACTCGCCGGCGGCGCAACCTTTCAACTATTTCGCATAAAACTGGCGACACAAGAGCGCGAATCAATTTTAAAGGGGGTCCACACATTAGAATAAGAATGGATGAAAAAAAAAACGAGATTTATGCATTTCTTACAGACGATCGAGGGCAGTGCAGATGGCGCTCACGGACGATTAGCAGATGTTGAAGTCAATGGGTCCGGCTATCCAACAGATGATGAAGATGGCGATGATGTTCATGGTTCAGGTCCGGTTTTCGGCTTTTCTCTTTTGTAATTCGAGGGGGGGGGGTTCTTTTGAGTTTTGAAACAGTTGGATGACTGTCGGCACCAAACATAGTCCCGTCACCGAATAATTTATGAGGCAAGGTCAACTTGCAATTCAAAACATGATCCACCATGGGCCAAAATTTTTTTTTTCAATTCATCGCTCCGACGCTCACCCATCGAATGCAAATTGATTAATTTATAGGATCGCCAGTGCCACCACCATCGACGGACACCAAATCGAAACCAATTACCACCATGAAACCTGCTAGCACTACAACAACAGCTACTGTGGTTAGTGAAGGCGGCCTTCGAACCGAACAAATGGGCTAGACAAAAAAAACATTGGAAGCACATATGGATTATATATTAATGGGGGGTCTGGGGCAAAACAGAGAAGGGGGACGCCAACTAATGAGGGGGATTTTGAAGTGCTTTCTCTCTTAATATTTGCATAGGCACGAGTATAGTTTACTTACCCGTCGGCCGTTTAAACCCATAAATGGAAAACAAAATTGAGCATTTCATAACTACACATTTGAGAGGTATGGGGGGGGTGTTTTTTTCTCTTTCAAAACGCGATTGATAGTATTTCAAAACACATTCAAGGTTTTCTGAACGAGAACACTATTCATTGAGTGCATTTAGCGCAATAGGTGTCAACAAAAAATTCTCCAAGCAATCGTAGATAAGACACCACCACCCGTGAGACAAATTTATTGGCCGATTGAGAATCGAGATAACACTTGAACAAAAAAAAAAATAAATGCGTTAAGCGTGATTGATTTACTTCTAGATTTACAAGCCGGTGCCAGTGCAGCCAGTTGTCACATCCGATCGTCATAAGGAGTTGCACGTCGATGAGGAAGACGACGAGGATGACGACGAAGATGATGAGGATGACTTCGCTGATGAGAATGTCAATGACGACACTGATATTGAGACGAATGCAGGCGCCACAACGACGACGACCCACCGTCCAGAGTATGCGAATAATTTTATTGGTTTGAAATGAGTTTTTTTTTCGCGATTTCAGAACGACTACGAGGCGGGCGTTTCCAACAAATCCACCGCCACGTGTCAACCAACCGACGACAACCCCCTCAAGCGGTCCATTCTCTCCATTCCACGAAACGATTACCAACGGAATTTATGCAGGTTGGATTTTCAATGTTATTAATTCGTGACACCTGATGCTGACAAATTATCATCATCATCATCATCATCAAAAGACGATGGTGGTGTAATAAAATTAATGCTGCTTACACATTTTGCTCCAAGAGCAAGAAGGGCTCGCGCGTGCGCGCGCACGCCTAATTATTTTTGTGAGAGGTCGACGAGCACATGTCGTTCGAAATGAAGTCATGCATTATTCGCATGTCACGGCATGCCATTGTGAATAGAATAACAATTTATGATGTGGCGCCTCTTGTGCATTTGGGAGGCGGATAATGAGGTGGCAAGTAGTGCGTTGTTCCTGAAAATTGGCACCAAATTTATGAGGCGCGCGTTTTGCGCAGCGCACTCAATTTTTTATTACAGTCGTTGGCCGGGAGTGTTTGCTCGAAAATAAAAAAGGTTTATTGAGGGGGTGCTGGACGCCATTAATAAAACATGACAAAGGACGTTTTGCAAGCGCAAATGGTTCCAATGTAAATCTAGATAATTTTGATAGAAATGGGGCAACTTGAAGTCTTCTCTGAATCCCAGAAACAATAACGACTTTTCCATTTTCTTGGTTGACTATTCTTCCCGAAGATATCTAATTTCCTGACGGATTACCATTCGGCTTACGCCTTCAATTGTTTTTTTTTTCGTTTTCGCCTTCTTGAGAATTCCAATTTCTCGAATATAATTAAGAATGCCCTCACTTGTTCCTTCTTATAGACAGATGGCTCTAATTGAAGTGAGGGGTTAGCAATGGCTGACGAGAAGGCTTAGGAAGAAAAAACCGCGACGTGCCGTTTTATCAAAATATGACAGCCTAATCCCATTGGGATTGCAACGGCTCGGCGGCGATGACAAATCGGTCAGCGGGTCGAGAGGGCGTGGTGGGGATTGTTTTTGCGCGTTGGAGAGTGTGAGAGCAACGAAGAGCCTGGTATTACTTATTAGGAGAGGTGCCAATTACCAACATTTGCGGGGGAAGGGGCACAATTTGATACGCAGCCTGTGTAAATAAATAATGTTAATAAGCGCTCATTATGGTGCACACGGAGCCAATATCGAAAATGTGCGGGGCGGACATTAATGTTTATGTTTTCAGGGATCGCAGGTGGAATTCTTGTCGCCGTTATCATTTCAATTCTTCTTGTGCTCTTTGTGATTTTCCGAATAAGGAAGAAGGATGAGGGCTCGTATGCGCTGGATGAGCCGAAACAGGCTCGACCATATGCCACTTATGCGTACACGAAAGCCTCCACTAAAGAATTCTACGCGTAATTTACATAATTGATAAGCATATTATCAATTTTAACTTTTTTTTTTTCGTTTATATCGTACTCTGGAACAAACAAAAAATGTGTCAGTCTTCTAATATTCTTCTTATATATGACTAGAAACTCTACCCTCAAGAAAATATTGATTTCATTCCAATTTTCTGCCATACACTTTTTTGAAATGTAACTTTCCAATCGCATAGACATTAATAATCCCAGTTGCATGACCCCCACATAAATTGTAAATTGTCTATTATCGAGGTAATATTATATTTTTCTATAATAATTTATAAGTAAGTAACTAACTATGTGGACGAATAATTATATAATTAATCTAAAAACTTGCATCACTGGTTTCTATTATAAATAATTCACCAATTATTCATTGAACATTTTTTTCTTGTGCTCATTTTTTTTCAGTTTTTTCCCTCTTCCAATTTTTCCTTCGTTGGTTTTTTTATTCATTGAGTTTTCCGAATTTGATTCACTAATAAACAATGCCATTTTTTGTGATAAAATTCCATTGGGTATTATGATTATAGAGCTGGCAATTGAAATAAGCCAAGAAGATAAGAAGGGATGATACTCAATCCAAATATTATAAAGCCAAATTTTCTGCAAATTATTTCAAAGTATACGGCGTTTTCAATTTTGTTGGATGGCATTGATAAACGTTTATTTTCACATGCCATTTCAGCCATTATTTTACCACTTTTCATCCAAACTCATCGTTTTGATATTTCTGAGGTTTTGCCAGTGTATCGCCACATTATTGATAAGGCGTGTCATTATCAATTGAGGTCCGCTTTGTACAATTTTTACGCTGACGGGCCTCGAATTGCCTATCAAACCCCAAATGGCACGCATTGTGCGTAGGTGCTAAAATGAGGTTTGAATTGATAAGAGCATTTCATTATGATCATTTGTGTTTTATAAACTGACTCGACTCTTTACGACTTTTGTAGTGACAAATGTTGGCACTCTATTCAGCTTTGCATATTTCAGAAGATGTCGGACTTTTCTACTCATTCGAAGGCTACCGAATGTTTTGCCTATATTTCGAAAATCTGTATCGATGAACGAAATGAATTGGCTGGATTGAATGACAAATTTGTGGATGTAATTGAGCATGTGAGTCACTATAATGAATTTCTCAAAAAATCGTGCTGTAGAAACGGCGGGGAATAAAGATTTTGGTGAGCAAGCAGATGAATTGCCTATAAAATGGTATTTGAGAGAATGTGATTTTGAGGGATGAAAGAAAAGTTTTTTTTTGTTTTTAGACAATTTTTTAGATCTGATGCTTGTATTGGATTATTCCCTTTATTTTCAGCGATATATTTCATAGTTGTTATCAACTAACTCATTACTATTTTTCAGTTGCTTTGTTTACATGCTGAACACGATTCCCTCGTTCGTAATATTGAATGGTTGAAAAATGGCACGAAACCAGGCAGTTCGCGAATTTCTCAAGAGTTTGAAAGTGAAATCTCGGTGGGTTTTTATCAACGCTATCAGAAAAACATTATCAGGCACTTTATGACGATTTCGCACAGCGCAGATACAAAAACTCTATACTCTTTTGTAGGAGTTGCGTCGCAAATTTGAAGATGCTACTCAAGCTAGAGACAGCTTGGAAAACGAGGCGAAACATCTGCACGTTGAGGTAAATCACCTAGAATAATTATCGAGATCATTTTGAATTTAGGTCAGCGAATGGAAACAGAGATGGGAAGAAGCTAGAAAATTCCTTCCCGGTGTCCCAAAGGATGTCGATTCAGAATTTCGTCGTTTGGCTGAAATTGAAGAGGAGGTACACTTATTTTTATCCATCATGTGATTAGCAACAACAATAATCATTTGTATCATCATCTTGTTTGTTGATTGGTAATCAAATGATTGCCTGGAGCTCATTAAACAATGTTTGACGAGACGATTGCCACAATATAAAATATTCTTTGTATAGAGCAAAGTTTGAAGCTTTGAGGGGGGGGGGGCGAAATTCAGCAAATGTTCATTTATTTGAAAATTGTTTTTTTTTTTCGTATGCATTATAATTTCACATTAATACTTTTTTTCAGTTTTTCATTGTTTCGAGATCGAAATTTTTTTTTTCAAAATTTTAGAATCATAGTGTCATAGATTTTTAAATCGCAAGAGATCGTTAAATTTCACAAACAATTTTTTTCGACTTTAAGGCGCGGAAAGTTGCTTATAAAATTTTAATGATATCGATAAGAATGGAGAACGAACCCTATTTGAATTTTATTTCTATTATCAAGAAACTGTGAACATTTGTTTTATTACCAATAATCATGTTAAGAATGCTTTGTATCTTCGCCGCATCAAATACATGGAAGGGAAAATGAGAGAGATGAGAATTTCAAATTCGAGAATTGCAGAAGATATTAACAAAATGAGAATGGTACAATATTTTTACACAACACACTAGATGAACTTATGAGTTATAGAGGAAAGATCAAGCAACCAGTCTCCGCGATGAATACTATCATAGACAGCAGGAACTTCTGCAAAGTATTAGAAAGGTTGAGAAAGACAACTATGAGGTTTTCTGAAAAATTTCGATCTCAAAAATTTAAAATGTTTGATGTTTAGGTTCTTGCCAATGAGCACACCCACTCCTTGGAAAACTGCTGGGCGAACAAATCCTTTTACCGTGATGAGCTTCATAAAGCCATCACTGAAATTCGGGAATCCTATAAGCTTGTATGCAACTTATTCAAGCCTTCACATTGCATATTTTTGGTTTAGAGGGCGCAAATTGAAGAAAAAGAAATTCAAAGGAGATTTGAGGAAGAAATGTTCAAGATTAAAGAGTATCAGACGTCAAGCGTGTTCACACGTGACCAACAACACCATGAAATTATTCGACTTAGCTGCGAGACATCTGATGCCAAGAAAAGGCTTCGTGATCTTGAAAATCGGGTAGGAAATTCGTCGATTTGCTTTTTACGAACCACTTTGTATTTATTTTTATAGAACGCACAGTTAATGAAAACAATAAGAGACATACAATCTCAATCCGACTTAGACTCCAAGATCTACGAAGAGCAGTTGGCTTTGAAGGACGCGGATATCGCAAAAATGAAGCACGAGTGTACCTTAATTACGGTGGAATTGGAGAAGATCTGTGATCTTAAAGTGGTATAGATATTTTTCAAAAACCAATCAGTTTCAGCTTATTTGATACTGTTTCAGAACTTAGAAAAGGAAATTGAAAGATATCAAGAATTGCTAAACAATGCCAACAATACTAATTTCAAAATTGTGGTAAATGAGACTAAATCAACTACGACCCACCAGTCATTTGATGTTGTGTTTGAAATGCCACCACCAGGAGCATTAACTGGAAATTGTGAATCTGGCCGTACAGGCACTTCGTCTTTCGCTGATAGCTGCCACATCCAACATCATGATACCAAATTGTTGAACACAGAATTAACGCAGAGCCGCAATGAAGTGCAAAACGTTCCAGTGATAGATGAGAGCAAGAAAGAGCAGCAGCAGCAACAAGACCATTCATATTATCAGACAACAAACGTTGAAAGATACGAAGCCTTTAGTAATTCAAGACAACGCCCGACGCCCGAATCGTCACAGGACGAGAGTTGGAGACTCCATAACGTCGATAATGTCCAACACACCGCGCACTATAATTCTTATTCGGAGCCAAGCGATGCTGCAAATATTGCCAACAGTGCGACTAATGCATTGCAAACGAACTATGAAAGTCACATCAAAGAGAAAACAACTACGGACTTCACATTTGTAGGTAAGAATTTTCAGCATTTGCTAAACAAAAAATTATTCAGTAATGTTTGATGTTTCTTATTTATTTTTCCTAACATTTCTTTTAAATTTGAGAACTCATCCATTTAAAATTTCGAGTTAACCGCAAAAATCTTTTTTCAAAAAAAATGAGTGTATGTCTCATGTCATTTTACGACGTCGAAGAATCAAAAATGATTGAGAACATTGATAATGTATTTTTTTGACCATAGATGTTACTTACGAGGAGGACAATATTCAAATGTTCACAAGATGGTACCGAGGAAGAGTTAAGATCGTCGATGTAAACCCAGATGTCATCAGAATTGAAAATAGAAGCAGCAAGAAGTCGGAAGATATTGGAGGATACAGAGTATTTAATGCAATCTTTGGAAAATTGCTTCCTTTTTTCAGATCACCCATGATATTGGATCGCGAACAATATTTGTTGATCTACCCGTTGGTCTTGTTCTCGGACCTAAAGAAAATGTGAAGGTTTAAAGTTCTTTTTTTGTACGCGATTGCATGAAACGTTTCAGATTTATTCGAGAGACGCTCGTTATCCAGAAAACTCCATTGTTGCTGATATCAATTTATTTGATACCACCACAATTACGGAAACGTCTCTGATCAACCGTTCTGGAGAGGTAAAGTGTAATGCATTTGATGAATTGATGAATTTAAAAATTCAGAAGAGATCTTGGTTCCGTTACACTTCGAATTCAGATAGAGGAAGCACATGCTAGATTGCAGTTATCCACTATTTTACTTTTAATTTACCCATGCCTGCCTTTATTTTGTCATTCCTATGATAAAATGACTTTCTTCAACATTGAATAAAGGTTTTTCATATCGCATAGATCGAAATGGTCAAACGTCCGGAAAATTTTTTATGAACGGAGGAGCCACAGCTTTTCCATTTTTTTTCATCACGAAAAATCGGAAAAGAAAGTGAACGAGTGACGGTATTCCTGAAAATTTCAAATGATTAAACGTGAAGCATACATTTTCTGCGTTATTTGTTGTTCACGTCGTTTTATTTTCTTACTTACTTACTTAGTCACTTAGTCGGTTCGTCCTTCGCCTGTAGAGGCGCGAACCACAGCTTTCCAAGCTTTTCGGTCCTTGGCTTGGGTGGACCAGGGGGTGATAACGGCTCCTTCAGCTGTTCTTGTAGTGATCTCCTTCCGAAGCGAGTCAGACCATCTCATGGGAGGCCTTCCTCTTGGCCTGGTCCAATTCCACGGCCGCCACTCCGTTAGAAGAGTAGTCCATCTTCCATCTGTTCTTCTAGCAACGTGTCCAGCCCAAGTCATCTTCCTCTTCGTCATGCATTGTTCACGTCGTTTTATTTTCAGCCTTTTGAAAGTGACAAAAAATTCTAACCAATCGTTTTCATATTTGGAACATTCTTGTCAAAGTATTTATTTGCCGAAGTTGTTTATCGGCTTTCGAGATTGGTTCTATTCGCGGTTTGACGCTTAAAAAGAATTTTTTATTCAGCTTTTTTGACCTGCAAAAATGCAATTGAACGCCAACCACATATGTATTGATAATAAATCCAATCTATTCTCAAGACAATGACAATGCTGAGGCAATCACGGGATTTATTAGATTTTTTGGGAGGCACGTGTGTTCGAGCGATTATCATAATCTTTTCCAAAAATAACTCAGTTTAACGCAGTATTCTTCAAATTTTGAAATCAAGGTAATATTCCTCAAATCTCAAAAACAAATTACGATGCCAATCAATTAATAAAAAGTGGAGGTGAAAACCCCTCAAAAATCAGTTGCACTCGATATGAAATCCAAAAAATCGATAAAATTTAGTTGCGGACAAAAGCATGTGTATGGCATATTAAGTGCAAAGGTCTGCAATCTCATTTTCAGCTTTATTTCGGAATTGATACTCTTATTTGTGTGTGTTTCATTAGATAATAAATCTGAATACATATATTTTATTTGAGTCGACAACATTGAAGAATTGTGATCCGCCTGCTACGCCGAAGAACGGATCGACTAAGAAACCAAGTAACTCAGATAATTGGTACATACGAATTTTTATAAAGAGCATGTTGCGTGTGTACACCAAATGCATTTAAATTGACGACAATTTTAAAGCATGCAATTTTGGCTTGAATAAGCAGCTAAAATACCCAATTTTAATATCAGAAAAGGTGCTGACGGAAAATTTTCAAAAACTGTCGGAAAGACGAAAAATCAAAGGCATTGCGAACAATGCATTTTATTTCCAGAAAATACACATGTTGCTGAAATCGTAACCACTTCAATCGTTATTTTTATTAATTTTTATTGAACTTCTTGTCTAGTTTCTACAACATTTTTCAATATTTTGCTTCGATCCTGTTAAACTGATTAAAAAAACGAGAATAGCCTCACGTTGTTACTATATAAATATTTTTGCTTTTTTCCCAGGTTATAGCTTTCTCAGAACTAATTACTTTAATTTTCTTGAAAACAAAAATGTGGGAAAATATTATATACTATTATAAATTTGGTCCATATAAGAGAACATAGTTCAATTTTTGAGTTCTAACAATCACGGACGAAAATGCTTAATATTATCCATTAAGCTGGAGATACAGAAAAACGCTATGTTGAATGGATGTAGATCACATTAAACATTCCCATTAAATTATTTAAAGTTCAATCTAAAATGCATCTTCGTTAAAGCTTGTTGGATTTTATCCTCCAAAGAGACGAATTCAGTAAGTGAAGTGCAATGAACAATTTTTTCCCACCAATATTGAACTAATAGAAATGTGACTTTTTAGCATAAATTTCTATCATGATCTGCTGATACAATCAACGTGTTTATTTTCAGAATTTACACCTCAGCTTTTCAGTCTAAAATCGAAACTTTTGGGAAGCCAAACATGTTCCTCGAAAGTGTTATGAAAGAACAATTTTCACAAAAAGGCAACATCCTTTGGCAAACAAAACATCGATATTGTTTTAAGCCGCTTCTGACATTTGCAATATATGCAAATCGTTGGTTTAAAGCTTCGTGTAATCTTAAAAAAAAGGGCAATCTCCTTATATAGTTTTGTTGAATTGCATAAAGCTCCACAAGAAATTTTCGCGACATTCGTGCAGTAAACTCCCTGAGGTGTACACGTCAAATTTCGAAGAATCCCGTGTGCCGTTTGCTCGTTTTATTTATTCATATATGGCGTTGAAATTCAAATCGAAATTTTTTTCGCTTCCAGAAAACCATTTAGTGTTGTTCTAATAATCATTTCTAGGCTCCCACTAAGTCTTCTCATCACGTCACGAAATCCCTATTTATAACTATTGTTTTTTGATCGCTTTGGTAGTTTAGAATGAGATTTTGAATATCCGCACTACATCGTATTTTAAATTTGAGCCTCAGAATTTTGCAAGTTATTAATATTTCATTCTCAACAACAAATTCGGTTGGCACTTTTTCAACAAACTCTGACAAGATCATCCTCAAGATTCCAGAAATTTTCAAATATATTTAAATTATATATATCTAATATATTAACGGAAAATACTATTCGCATAATTAACGGTGTATCGTAAGCTTCTTATGAAAATAGTATAAGCCTATGGTTTTCCTAAGAACACGAATCGCTGTTTCTCGAAAATCAAAGAGCGTTGTGATTCCTCAAGGTTTCAAAGGACTCGAAAACCGACCCCAAAGTTCATAATACATTTTGAGAAATTTATATGTCTGTTTCAAAAAATATACCCAAGATATACAGTTTCTTTTAAGCCCATTTCTGGTGCTATTCGGGTCAGACAGATAGATTATTAAGAATGTGAGAACTTCTCCGTTCACCTATGAAGCATCCTGCCAGCTGCAAATCAACAATCAAGGGAACACATATTTGCAGACATGTTTTTCCCATCGAGAACGTCGCGGCACTCTTATTTTTTGCACATGACCTCCCACTTAGAAAGACAACATTCAATCAAATTATTAGTTGGACTCTTCTTTCATTTTACTCGACACTTCCTCTCCATACTTTTTGCTCCTGCCACGCACTTTATAAGGAACCTCGCACTGCTCGTCTCCCCCCCCCCTTTTTTTTCCACAAATATTTATAACACTTTTCTTTTTTCAATATTGCGATTCTAATTATAACGTATTCAGCATCTCATATGATGTCAACAGAGAAGGAAAAGATGTTCTCGAATTGGTTTAAAAGGATCAAGAAAAAAAATTATTGCGATTGTATACGAAAAAAGAATCATTCATCAATGCGGCGTGAGATTTTGACGGCGGGCCAGGTTATTTGTGACTTTTCACTGTCCCGTTTCCCGTGGGCGATTTTCTCACAGTTCTGATTCATTCATTATTTCTTTCAGTCCCATTCATCTATTTTTGAAGGTTTCATTTTCTCTACATTCAAGTTCTTTTTTTCCACCTCCTCTTGTTGTTGTTGTTGTTGTAAGATTTCATTAAGATTATATCATATAATACATGATGGTACGGCGTTCATTAATCTCATTCGCATAATCCTACCAGAGCAAAAAAAATTAAATATTATGTTGGACAAATATAGATAGATGAAAGGCGGGCAAAAAGGTGTTTGTCTTCGGATCAGATGTCTTGATTCAATTTGCCTTAGCTGTGTTCTACATTATTCCATATATTTTTGTCATTCATCCATTCATATCTCTCGCACTTCTTGTTCTCAATTCCCAATTGACGTTGCAGCCTTATTTGAATTGTTCTCAAGTCCTGATATTGCCTACTCGAAATTCCAATACGGCCGGCTCAAAATTGTCACTTGAGCTCATGGGGCGTGCACTTGATGTGTATAAAATGAATTCGCCCTTTTTTGGGGGATTTTGTTGCGGTTTTAATTTGTGGCCGATGAATCGAAAACCACCCAACTCATTCTCGTCGGGACGCGATTTGATTCGAATTGCGGAATGCTTCTGAATTCGTAAGTTGACCATCACTGCGTAGGCTTACATATTTTTCCACTATTTTAATTCCATTGGCGGCCAGAAGAGTTTCATAATAAACATGGTACAACGATGAAGTTCTTCGAATTCAGTTGTCAACCGGAATTCTCCTTTTATGAAAATGGAAATTTCTATAATTGGTTTTGATAGACCAATAATCAACGAATAGTCAGACAAGGATTTACGTACGAGAATTAGATTTATTATTCTCGGATATTCAAATATTCCATTTTTTATGCTCTGTAAGGATGTCAGAAGTCTACCTAGGTTGTCTTCTTATTTAATGTATTTAGAATCGTTAATAAGGATTCAAGCTTCAAACAGTACAACGCTGATAAATTACGAAGGCAAACTGAAACCAACGATTTCAAAAAAAGAAATTGTGCAATAATCTTCACGATTTTCATGAATAGCTTAAAAATTCCAGTGTTTCTTAGAATAATGAAGCCCTATTACCATACTCCTTATATGTAACATTATTCAAACCATTAATACCTAAAGAATATTTTGAGAGTTACAAATATTCTACTTTCGACAAGACTTTTGCTACCGTAGTCTTTTCTTAAATTCCAACAATTGGGTAGAAGATGTTTTCAAGGAATAAGATGAAAGGGACCATGTATTTGTTTATATATAAGTTAAATATTTCACCGCCCCCCAGAGCCCTTTAAATGAAGTGTTCTCACTCCATAGATGTTCACCAAATTTATTCAAGTTTATCTTAAAGAGAAGACCCGAAAAACAAAAATAATAGACTTATAAACAATAACAATTATTTTAAACAACTTACTGCAAAAATTGAATTCTTCGATCATTTCTTGAACGTTCTATAGGCAAGATTAATATCCACACATCCTTATATGGAGAAAATCTAAAAAATTTCTTAATTCATTTTGCTAGTATGAATTGCTCCTAATCCCCAAAGTTTACGGTATCCTTTTAGTTTGATGTAAAATCTTAACATTTTCATGTTTTCGCTACCCTTTCACATCATACCGGAAGTTCCTCGTGCAGGTCGTAAATATAGAAAAAATTAATTCGAATTAACATTTGCTATAAAGGGATATTAGTATTTTTATCATCGCCTCCCGGTTTACTCCAAAACCATTTTATTTCGGATGCTGCTTCTTGGCTGTTGCTGCTACTTCATTTTTTGTGGTTTGTTGACAAACATTCAACTTTCACTTTGCCTGGGAAAAAGCATAAATTGAGCCAATCGTCTTTGCTCAAAAAAAATATATAAACCATGTGCATGCATTTAACCAACGCCCATGTATTTAATAGCCAATTCGTTTATTTGATGCCACCGTATTCCCAACTACTAAACGTGGCATCATATAAGCCATGATATGATATGTTTACAATATTCCTATAAATCTTTCAAACACCGTCCGAATCCCGATTTAAAGATTTGTTGAGAAGATCATTTTAAGCCAACAAATTTTGATCGGAATCCCCCGTTTCGTGCACTTTTTTGCGATGAGTTTCCCCATTTTTATATCATTTTTAGATTGAGAATAATTGAAATATTTTTTTTCTATAAATGATGAAAAATATATTTTTTAAAAATTATATGTATAAGTATAATTTAGAGCGTCTAAATATTCAAATTAGTTTCTGGAAATGCTATTTTCATTTTTTAAAGTTAATACCGTAGTCCAACGCTTGAGAGTCCAATGGCTTCAATAGTTTTTGCAGAGATTTCGTGACATGACGGAAACATTTCTATTATTAGTAATAGCGTCACCTAGATGCTCCCACTCACCAGGAATACTCGAAAATTCTCAGTCTCCCTGAGTAACCGTTGTGCGCATGGTTCTTTGACCTACACCCCCTATTCGCGAAAATTCAATGATTTCAGTATAATTTTAGTGTCCTTCAAATGAATACAGATATTATAACTTGAATTGTATTTAGACAAATCAAGTCTATACTACAAAAACGCATTGAAAAAAAACAATACTGATTAATCTTGTTTCCTGTTGACTGACACCATCCAACTCCACTGTTATCCAGAAAAAAAAACAGCATGACAATCAAATTAAGGTTCCAGTTGTGCCACTGCCCAAACAAACAAAACCCAAGTGCTCCTTGCTTCCCAATTTTTTTTCGGTCTCGGTCTGAATTTCTGAAAGCCTCCTCATTGAGAAAAGCAACACTTTTCGGAATTGAAAATGGGGGGGGGTTCTTTTCACACGCGGTTGAGAAAAAAAAAGCGAAGAGACCGCGCCCCGTTTATATTTGGCAATCAACAATTATTGCCTTCCGCTCAAGTCTCTACTAATATTATTTGAGTCCAAAAATTGAATTGTTGCTTCCATTTTGCAAATGGAACATTTTTCGTGTTCGCCATTTGGCTTCTACTTCTTCGTCGCCTTTTAAGGGGTGTCACTTGAAGATGGAGCACATAAACAAGATTGAGCAAACAAAGAAAAAAGGAATGTTGGAACTTGGTTAAGATAATTCTGTGGGTTGCGTTTTCCGCCAAAAATACAATCGCCATCAGAAATCCATTGTTTATGAATTGAGCTCGAACATATGGAGCAGCATACGGTTCCAATTAAACAAGCCTTTCCCGACATTTCATTTTTTCATTCACTTTCTTTTCAATGTTTTTTTTTGGCGGTGAGTGTGTGATTGCGATATGTATGAATATGTGTGTAACCTCCATTGTGTACAACTTCGATAATTGCATACATTATTAAAATATTGTTGTCACCGCTTTTCATCCGAGATTTTTGGCATCAAACTTCAACATCTCAATTTTTCGAATGCATTTTTGAAACGATTCTATTTGCGGGGGGGGGGGAGGGTTGCTTTCATTTTCCGGAAATAATACTGAAAAGCGTGCCGGAGTCCGGAGTACATGCTAATCCCATGCACAGGAGTTTATTCATTTATTGTTGTTGCGCAAAGCATGTTATCACTTATTACGTTCATTTATTCTGCATGACATTTTTTAATAATTTGCTTCTTGATTAATTGTCTTCTTCTGGATTCTTTTACGGCTTTTTGGCTTCTACGAAGCATAAATTCAGGAATCAATTAAATTTCATGCCCCTAACAATGTGTAATCCTGGCAAGCGAGTGAGCTTCTCCCTTATTCAGAAAATTACAGGAAATTAAAATGCACAAGCTCAATTGTTATGTTGTTGACAATTTAAAATATTCTTTTACCGAAAACAATTGCCAAAAATGATTGCTTTACTAATAATACTGTCTATAACTCATTTCGCTGGATTACTCGATAGTATCAATGGTGTGTTTACTGGTTCTATACGTGAGACATATCAAGCTGGTTGTTCATGCGTGAGATTATTTTGTTTTGTGGGAAGAGCATCCTCAAAAAAAATGGAATAAATATTTGCTAGCGAATAGCTTTTAATACTCACTGACCAATTTGTGTTTAACCAGTGTGGGGGATGAAGCTTGATAGGAGCAAATCTGAAATTCCGGAGTTCTGAACATTTTTCAAAAAACCCTTATAATTTGAAAATCTAACCGAAGAGTATCGTCATTTTTGCAATCTTTCGGATAACAGTACACAAAGTTTGAAATAATGAGTCATGAGATCCGAGACGCCTTCATTTTTCATGCCATAGAATACATCCTCATTACCTCATTACTCCTATTCATCGAAATTTTTTTTCAAGAACACTTTGCTTCAAATGAGTACATATTTTGAGACGACGTGGTGCGAGAACTTCGTGTTTCGTTTTTTTTTCCCTTCATTTTTTAAACGCACGAGCAGCAACAAATTTCCGTTCTTTTTTTTCCAATACTATTCTGAATAACTTTATTTTTCTTGTGCCACCATGTTCATTACTTTTTTGTTCCGGCAATTGACGCTTCGCGCATTATTTTTTTCTTGTCCGCTCGCTGTCTTACTTACCCAGCTTTTATGCAGAATGAATTCCACAATAAGCAATGTCACCGCCGCGCCGCAGCCATTCGTCGAAAATTTCACCATTGGCGAAACATTGTTCTACGTGAGCTGCGGAGTTATTGGGACCATCTTCAACTCTATTGTGTTATGGATCGCTCTTCGCTATATCAACACCGAAGATAAGCCGAGACAAGTAAGTCTCGAATTCGCAAGGGTACCGTAGATCAATTAATTTTTTTCTTAGATAATTGTTATCAACATGACCATGGCTGATTTGTTAATGAGTATAGTTTATATGGATACTCGTCCTTGGCTCTCATATTTCAATCCAGTCTTATGCCATCCGTATTACTTAATTATTTGGACTTGTCAAATGTGCAGTTGTTTGAACCTGGTTTGGTTGAACGTCGACAAGCTGATCTACATCCAATTCCCATTGCATTACTATCAAATAGTTAACCGAAAGCGCCTTTTATGGATATCTACGGCAACGTGGATTGGACTTATCGCTCTTAACATGTGTTTCGTCAGCTTTTTAAGTGTTCATGTAAGCATTTCAGACTGGCCGCTTATGCTGAAATTGATTTTTTCAGGGAGGATGCCTCCAAACCCGCCTAAATCCATATATTTACCTATTAAATCCAATTTTCTATGTCGTCATGATAATCACGTCATTCTCACTATCTGCATTGATCTACTGCATTGCTCATAATTTGACGCATATGGAAGAGCGTCAGAGATCGGTAAGAACATATAACAAATCAGAGCGAGCACGTTGTCATAATAAAAGCTATAACTTATATATATATACAAAAAAATATATATACACAATATATATATAGATAAACTTAAATATTAATAACTCCAAAGACACATAATATTTTATAAATGGAAGCAATTTGCTTAAAACAGAATTCCGAATTCAATTTTCAGCTCTATTATGAGGGAAAATTTGTTTTTCTGGCTGTTTGGAAGGGTAAAGTTGAAAACAAACTGGGTTGCAAATTTTTGACGGATATTTATTTGATTGAAAGTAGCCCAAAAAAAACAAATGTCAATTTTTTTCAAAACGAAAACATTTTCAAACAAAATTGAAGGATGATGTTGTCCACCTTTATTCAATTTTTCATCCAAGCTAAGCTAATTTCCAATTCTGTTTGTTTTCTACCAAATTACCTATCGAAATTTGATAGTTATTTGCTCTGAATTGCCCAAAAGAATTCCAAAAATATTCAATCTACCTTGGTGAACTTTGAGAAAAAAAAGGAAGCATTTCGAGGGGGGGGATCACATTACAACCCGATAAGATTTAATACTAAAGAGAATACGCACCCAATTTTTCGGGAAAATGTGATTTTGATGATCTTCCGACGTCTAGACAAGTTTTTTTTCATCGTTCCAGAAGCTGTTTCGCCGACTGTTCTTCTTATTCTCTAGCACTCTTTGGACGTTCTTCACATGCCTTCCTTATCGGGTTTTGTATCTCTTCAACAGTTTCTGTAAGTTGATTGATAGCATTCGAGAATTGAAGCGAATTGTTCAGGTGGCGAAATGTGCCGTAATGAAGCGTTCTTTGTCACCACCACCATGTTCTTTCGGCTATTGATCGTCGGCATCATGATCAATCCGGTGATTACAATTTGGACGCAAAGGGTAAGAGTGATCGCAATGGTGAAGGGGGGGGGGCACTAATTTTGTGGACCGATTGGTTTTTCGTTTTAGATTTATCGCCTACGTTTGGTGCGAATTGCTGGTAGACTTCGGGCCAATAGTTCAACCGAAGTTCTTATGGTTTCCAATCGACGTGCATCGGATCGACCGCCAGAACATCAACCACTTCGATGTGACATTTGAATAATTTTTTTTGTCACAATCCCACACAAAACACAAACAATACCGGTGCCACATATTTGAATTCAAATTTAATTTATGTATGAAATATTTGCATATGATATAATAAGATTACGAAATGTAGAAACAATAAAACTACATACAATTATTGACAATATACCTGCAATTAATAATTGGAGAGAATTTGCGTAACTCGAACGAATAGATTACAATAAGTACATTAGTGTATAGCAATAATGGGTTATTATGTGCCAATTGCTTCAATTGGTCCGTGGACAGCTTCCAACTCATGAGCAGCGGTCAGAAACTGAAAAAAATGATCAAATGATTACGAGTTATAATTTGGGCGTCGAACCTCAGAATAGATTGTTCCAACTGTTCGCAACATTTTTAAGCACCCTTTTAATAATATTGCACAAAACTCGTATGATTCCTGAAATATGCTAGTCGTATCAATATTCCACATAATCTAATACATTTCTGTCCTGCTCGGTGTACTGATGGATCTGGGCTAACGTGTTGAGAGACACTTGACAGTTTAAGATGTGAAAGTCTAGAAGCTTTTTCAGATCTTCACTGTCGCGGTGGGACCTTCGCAAGCGGCGCTAAACCCGAAAATTCGAGTTAAATATCATGGCTATTGGGGCTTACCATTGAAACCATTGCGTCTGCAATGCTGTCCTGATAGACAAATGTCTTTCTCTGAAACGTCAAAGTCTTACAACAAACTCGGCTCCTTCGCCTATTACCATGACCTCCATATCGACATTTGGCATATTTGGAATGTTCGGCATCGCTTGCATAATTCCCCCTTCAAGATAATGCAATAATAAGAAAAATAATAACGTAATGAATGAGGGCAATCAATTGATATCCGTTCGGAGGAACTTGATATATATATATATATATTTTTACAAAAGACCTTCATGACAAGAGCGGCAACGGCGTTATCAAAACTAAACGGTTATGAGAAGTGATAGAAAAACGGCCACGAAAAATGAAGTACGAGAAATGGGTGGTGTTTAACTGGGTGGTTGTTATCTGTTACTGTAATCGATCTTAAACTTTTGAAGGTTGACATTTTTAAAATAAAGCGAGACAAAAATGAGAACGGTTTAGCGGTATGTGGCGCAAGAATAATTCATTTTTCTTCAATTTGATCAATTCACAAGATAAAATTAATTTGGCAGCAAAGTCAGCGATGGTGAACATCGATTGCGGAAGTTTAAAAGGCATTTTTCATAATGGATGAGATCGATTGGTTGTTGCACTTTAATTTCGTCCGCAATGAAAAATGAGAACTGTTTTTTTTTTTCAAAAAAAAAAAAATGCTTGTCAACCAAATGTAAATCTATACAAATATTTACAATATTGTCAAATGCAACAATTCCTACAAAATATGTATATAACCCAAATGCGCACAACATTTCAATGTATTTGACCTATCAACATCATCAGCCACTGAGTGAAAGTGGGTTGTTATTTTCTGGGTTGCATCCTAAACTCATGTTTCGAAAAGACAGAAACCACTAAGAAAATGTTTGATTTCCATTCGAGATTTGAGATAAATGGATTAAAAAAAAAGTCATTGACACCAACATACTTGGTATTATGATGTGATGTGGCCTTCAAGAGAACCGCTTCAAATCTTGTTCGAAGGCGCTTGAAAAGGATATTGAGATTTGTCAATATCGTTGAAATCATAGAAAATCTGGTGTGTGTGTGTGATTTCGGATAATGAAAAAAAAAATAAGAATACGGTAATTAAAACTGTTAGATATGTGAAGAAAACTTGGAACAAATGCGAATATTTTCTGAGGAACGAAATACTATGAAACCCACTGTGCAGAGATGGGAAAAAAGTGCTGCGGAAAATCTAGTGGCGTAATTAAAGGATAATCGTTTAATTTTGGTTAATTAGCAAAAATGAAACAAACTTAAAACCATTTAAGAACATGCGCAATCTCTTTCTCCCCCCGTTCAAATAAACACAGTGAAGCACCTTTTGTCGGCTGGTCTCATCGCGATAAATCTCTTAACACCGCCACGTGCACTTTTGGTGAAGTTCGCGTTTGTCATCATCGAGCGTTATGATTTTGTATTTAACAGAAAATTTTAAAGTGGAAAACAACAAAAAATCATAGCGTTTTTTTTTGTTGTAAATGTGATAGCTCTTTGATGTTGCCCTATTACTGGAGCTGGAATCTGAAACAGTTGCTATCTACAGGGAAAAAAATTGTGGCTTGAGACATTGGCGCTGAGGTAGAGGGCGCTAGACAATTGTCTGCTGTAATCATTCATTGGGCGAGAGCCCAACCCTGAAAAATTCGGACAGATAATTAATTGTTTCGATTTTTTTCTCGACTGATCTCAAAAGTTCACGGCAATTTGAGCGATCAGTGTTCAAAATGTTGGCATCATTTGCCAGATAACATCTCTTTCGGTGTGAAAATCGTGTTTGTTTCAGAGAATTTCTCTTCCGAAATTCAAAAGAAAATAATTTCCTACAATTGATTTAATGTGTTTTCACGGAAAAAGCGGCTATCTGGGTTTTTCGATGCAACTCTGCTAGATAAAATGCGCAGCGATTATCGGTTATTAAGATAAATTTAAAAATAAACTGGTCCGCTCGCGAACCGCAACGCTTCTGACAACATTCAAAAGTATATTACGGTAACAGCATTCTTTTAGAGAAACAGACTCTATGTTCTTAAATTTATTATAGACTTGTTTTGAACAAGAAAATACTATTTATGGCAAATGAAACATTGCATTGAAAATTCTTTCAAATTTTATATACTTATTCCTAGAAAATACCAAGGAATAAACCCGTTACCCTCAAAATAATGTTTTCCAAGAATAACATCATCATTCATTTCAAAATTATATAATATCACGCAATCTTAAAACCAAACAATTGCAGCCTAAAAGAAATAAAGACAATATAAAAATTGGTTGCTATGAATTTTATTCTGATGAAAAAAGGCAACAATGTTAAAATTATTGATAATTGGAAGCGCCTGTCACAAACACGATCATTTATTTGAACAACTTGTAGGCCATATGATTTTTTTTTGCAGCCGGAAAAATTCCACCCGTGTTTCCACGAAATCCGAACGCGTAAACAACCAGCACTAAGGATTGTTCAAATACGCAAAATCGGTTTGGTGTTTGGTCTGTTTTTTTCCGGGACTTTCACAGTGTTGAACGGCACCATCTCATTGAAGAAGATGTGAAACAAATTTCACAATGAAAAATAATGTCAGAGATTTTTTTTTGAAAAAAAAAATGGAATGAACTACTCGAGTTTTTGAAACGCTCGTTTTTTGCCTAAAACAAACAGCTGCGCCAAACAATGCAAACTCTTGAGGGGCAATTTTTCCAATGCGTCACTTTCAGAAAACAATTGTCTCGTGCCCTCTAATTCGATTACCGTAATCCGAATAGGTCTTCCGACCTTGAATGAATCCGCTACAGTCAGAAAAACACACACACTCACCAAGCAGCTGACTCATTTGAATATTGATTGAAATTGCTATTTTGCTGGAAGCCAAAAAATAAACTGACAAATTCCTAATACGGAATACATTGGTAACAAATTGGTTTTTAATGGGATACTTGACCAGAAATGAGGGGAGATGAAATTGCATTTTTTGGCCTAGGGATTAGTCATATAGCTTTCTCTTCAACAGTGCATGTGAGCCGTTTAAAGGAAAAACAAATGTCGAAGGAATATGGAAATACGAAATTCCTGGCAAAATTTTTATGTATATTTGATGAGACGTTGTATGTCTTGTTTTTTCATCCAATTAAAGATAACAATTGAACTGGAAATTGGCAATATATAAAGAAAAGAATGTCTAATATTTGTTGGTCGTAGAGAAGAAGCAGCTGAAATATGCATGTCTTGAGATTAATTTCCAATCAACCTTTATTTTTGTTTAACCGAATTTGACCAATACGAGGAATAACATAAAGACAACCATTTCTTTTTAGACTTACGGAGCTAAAAATTGAATAAAACCAATTTATTTTTGCACATAATTGCAGCCTTTGAACCGGAGAATCTTGGAAATTGAATCCAATTTTTTTGAGTAAAATTGAATGAAAACGTACCATTTTCATCGAAACCTACGTATTTTTTGTGTACAATTCACCATTTCAATAAAAAAGCAAATAGACGCAACAATTTTGGCCTTCTTATCATTGACTAATATTTCAACTAGGCGAGAAACGTTTCAGAAAGTTCTCTATGACGATGATAATCTTTCGTTTTGATGATGCTGTTCGCGAGAAAGTAAAAAAAATACAATTTTGGTGGGAAAAATCAAAGATCAGACGGAAAAATTGAATAACGAGGAGTTGAGCCTCCGCATTGTGTGTGCACCACAGTTTTTGGTTCGAGTGTCTATTCTCCGCCAAAAAAAAACCTTGTGTTTGTCAACAACACAGTTGTTTCATTGGTCGCGTCTACCGTAGCCCGCTTCAATCTCAAGACAACCAGTGTAATTTGAATCTTGTCAAAACAATCACGAGTTTATTATAATCTCTTCACATCCCTTTTCGACGTAAACGTGTTTTATTTGAGTTGTCGAAAGGCAGTATTGATGGTTTTTTGATTACTCGCGAAAAATAGAAGCTAACTACGTAGGGCGACGATTATCGCAACAATGAATTAGAATCAACTTTGATATTCCACGAGTAAAATGTCACGTTGCTTTTGGAAATTCTGGTATTTATTAGGTGCTCTTCAAGATTTTGAGAATCAGGATAGACGATTCTTATGCAATCACCAGACATCGAACTTTGTTCTCTGATTTGCATGAATTGGATTAAAACATGTTTGTTATCATTGCGTTCGCTGTCCTCCGAAAAAAGCAACCACATCACAGGTCGCGAATTTGATTGATTACACCGGGAGGAGGGGCAAGTTCCTCCGCAAAAAAAACCCGTCTTATCAATCCTTCATTTCGATTTCGGAGAAGGCATGTCGAATCAAAGGAAATATGTATAACAGGTAGAGAATACTTTATTAACGATTCCCCAAGAATTTATAAGTGCAAAGGAAAATTTTATCAAGACATAGGGTTGAATTATTATCACAATCGGGTCAATGGCTCGTCAGCTCGGCGAGACGTAGTTGGATTTGTTGACTGTATCGTCGTTTGTCTTCAGGGGTCATTGATTGTACGGCGCCTGAATATAAGCCGGCTGAATGTAGTGCGAATTGGTCGACGAGCTCTTCTTACTGTAGGCTCGGTATTTGCGGAATTTGTTGGGCAACGCGCGGTTTGCCCAATACATTTCGGCGCTCCGTCTCGGCAACAGAATCGCCTGGTCGGGAAGCGAAATGTCGGCACTTGTTGTGTGGAGGCAGAACAGTGCCAAAAACAGTCCGGCTACTATTATATTGTTGCACATTACTGCAAAATAAAAATGAGGAGATTTTCGTGTGATAGGGCTTTTTAAATATTATTATAAGGGGATGGGACTCGCGGAATAATACGCGTTGATTAGGTCTATTGAATGATTACGTAGAGAAGGAAGAGCAATACACGGAAGAATGTGATATCAAATCGAACAATTGAGTTTCAAAGTATGTTTTTTTTATTTATTCTCTTATTAGCCGGGCCTTATAGCGATAATCCAGGATTTGGGCCTTATCATCAGCCAATTCTTGTTATGATTCAGATCTCTGGCATGGAGCGCAGAACAAAACAACCTCGATTATTAATGCTATTGTAATCAAGGTCTGGATGAATAGCTTTTCGTTGTTCACTAGCTGTTGGGGGGGGGGGCTCAAATATAAGAATTTTGTGAGGGTGTGGTGTGAAAATATTTGTGGGAATGATTAAAGGGTCTAGAAATTTTTTTTGCTGCCCATTTTATAATTACATGCTGCTTAGTGGGCATGGAAATATGAAACCCTAGGCATCTTAAAGGTCAATGAAAATGTTTAGCAAAAACTTTTGAAAAGTTTTTTTAAACCAAAGGCCAAAATATTTCGAAAATTTTGTCTTCATATAACTAAATTATGTGAAAACATATATCAAGAAAACGTGAATTCCAGGTGCTCTTCGGAAAAATGAAAATCACTTATAAAAATGCACTTTTATATCAAGCTTGACTTCAATTTAATATAGAAATGAGTTCGATAAAAGCTGATTCATAAAAAATAATACGCTCATGAAAATATTTGTTCGTGTTTTGAAATATTCCGAAATTTTTGAATCAAATTCATATCGCCAATCTATTGTTGAAAGTAGGAGATCATAATAGAAAATTGGAGTCACCTGATCTCAATAGAATCTGCCTAAGATTTCAATATTATAAAATATATATGTACAAAATTCTTTTATTTACATCATATGAAAAGATTTTTTTGTCAAATTTACATGATTATGAATAGAGTACGATTTTTTAAATTTCTAGAGAAAACATGTTTTCTATTTATTATGTGAAAAATTGAAGCATCGTTTATGATAGAATATGGATACGTATGTAGCTATGAAATTTTAATTATGAGAGTTTGTTTAATGACCAACATTTCTGTTGAAAATTTATTGCCGCCATTAAATTGGAAGCCAAAAAGCCTACGGAGTTTTGCTGAAAAATGCTCAGCCAATTCCACGAAAAGTTAGCAAGTGAAAACATGCTATCAAATGATATTGATAATTGGGTGGAGTTGTGAATACTCAAGCGGTGTTCTTCTTTTAAATACACCATTTAATGACGTTTCAAGCGAATATAAATTACTGGTTCTTAATAGGAAAACCACTAATTTATTTTGTTCAAAGTATGTGCTATGAGCTGCATTTTTTGATAAATCACTGATTTTTAAAATGTTTGACGCAAAGAATATTGCAATTAATCATCTTGAGGCAATTTCATAAAACGTTTCAATTTTCCTAGTATTTGTTTAGACTAGGCGACAGCCCGCAAAATATTAACTACCGTAAACCAAAACTTCGTCATGATGTTTGAGCAAGATAAAATTTATTAGGCGAATATCTCACATAGGAAAACACGCGATTAAACCTCATGGTGGGGGTTTACCTCATGGTCATTTACTATTTAAAGGCGTTTTGCCTACGCACTCAACACAGCAAATTCTGAAATGTGGTATGCAAGCATATTCAAAGTTTTCCTGCAGACATTGAAAGGAGATCGGAGCACATAGAATTGTGATCATAATACATATTTATGAATGCAAACCTATAAATAGCTTTTGACCCCCGGTTGGCGGAAATAAATTGAGGAACTGCTATTGAAGACTGCAGCTCACTGGCGACTACATAAAAGCGATTCCCTACATTTGAACCATTTGATATCTCAAGTGAATCTTGAGAAATCTGAAACCTCGAACAAATATAGAGAATCTTGAAATCATAATCTATGCCATTTCTTTATGAAATTTAGAAAAAAAAACCCAAAATAGGACATATTTTTTGTCCAGAGTTCTTTAAAATTTTAGATGTCTGAAAAAAAGCACCGGTTCCACTAAATTAACATCGTCAAAAAAAATGAATTTGACATTTCCTGATAAAGCCCAACAATGATGTTGAGAATGCGTGGGAGAAGACATAGTCATCCGTAACTGACGTCAAACATAAAGTTTTTGGCGAAGAACAATAGTGGTTGTTAATTATCTCACAATATAATGGGCGTTGAACTATTATGAGTAAATCGTTGAAGGAAACCTTTGGTCAAAAGCCTTTGGAATAATTCTTAGCTAAGCAATTTTTTGAATTCCCAATAACTATATACTAGCAAAAGCCAGAAAAAAACACGATTTAAGGGTTTAACTGTGAAAAATTTTTTTCCAAATCGGATGAAAAATCAAAAAAAAATGACGAGTTTATTTTTATCTTTGGGCAAAAATCGGTTTAACTTAAAAATAAACAGTTTATTTGATTTAGTTGAAATTCGAAAATGTCTCGTATTTTTATGGAAAGTGCAAAGCGAACATTGATTCATAATAAATGAGACAAAAAAATCAGGGATTCTGAGGAATGAATCGTTGACAAGATTTGCGTCTGTCTCGAAAAAGCTTTGCATGAAATATTGTTGTTTTCAAGAAAAACTGAAATCCAAATTTGAAATTGCCTTTTATGTCTGAGTGTTTTTGAAGGTTTCCAGCAAAAGGTCTTAAAAGAATAAATTCGCACTTGGAATTTATATTTTCAGCATACATATAGAGTCATTGATATTTTCATACCGTAATGAATCGCATTCTAGTGAGAAGAATACGAGTCTCCTGAGCTATATCTATATAGTTCTATAAACTTAGATCTATTTAAGTTGGTTTGATATGATTCGATAGCTATGAAGTATTATTTATAATATTGTAATACTTAAATTTTGAATTAGAACCTGCCAATCTCTGAGATCAAAATGTATCGAATGTGTTCATTTTGGGAACATTTATGCAACCCACGCTTTTATGAACCTTAAATGTTGCAGGCAATCTGGATTTCTTGAATGAGCAGTGATGCGCAAAATTCCTTTATGGACCATAATTTACTGGGAATATGGAACATGATTTCATATGACTATTCAAAGAAAACCATATTAACGCTAGTCACAGTGTAAAATGAGTATTTTCTAGGTTTAAAGATTTGTGGGAGGGGGTTTAAAGATTCTGCAATTTATTTTTTAATTCGGCTCAATTTTGATGCAACCTGAGAGTATACCTGTTTTCATGATAATTAGGAGAAAAAAAAAATAAAATTGGTGATGATTTTGCATTAATTATTTGAGCTGGTGATTAATTGAATTCTCAACTTACAACTCATTTTCCATGGTGTTGTCAAAATTGAGAACCACTCGACGGGTCTTCGCAATGTACGAATAACATCGAAACGCTATATTAAACGCGTACAACTTGAGAATAATATAGATTGCTGTGACAATCAGCTTTATCATTAAGAATCGTCGGAAGAAGTTGTTATTGTTTTCAACGCCATCTGTAACTAAAAATTATGATATGAAGTGCCTTTTTCTGCACATTGTACCCTCGAACAGCAAATAATAAAAAAATGCTGCAAAGAATCCGAGGAAAAGCAATATCCTGCAACTAATCCCCACCAAATAAATTTCGATATAAGCTAGCCGGAATTTTTTGACGCCTTGCATCAAGAATATCACAATCACTGCAACGAAAAAAAAACATGGGGTTATCCATTTTCCAATTTTTGGCATTCGGCACCTAGTTGCAACATGGTGAACGCAATGCCGGTAATTATCACAATTGGATGAAACGATTCTTTCACAACGCTCTCCGCCGTCCAGAATGAGAATTGTGATACAATCCACATCAATTCGAGGTAGGCGATCCATAGCGTTCCAGTCTGCAATTAAATGCTCTTTTAATCACATTATTGTGCACGTGAAAATTTTATGCATTTCTGCATAATTTATTCAAATCTTTGAACTTTTTAGTTGCTCATGACGTGAAGTTGGTGAAGAATATTAAATGGTTATAAAGATGAGAAAATTAAATTGATTGGTGATTTTCTCTTGAATGAAATTGTGGAACATCCGTACTTTATCAAAAAATCATTTAACCCCAAAAAATTTGGCAATGGGAGTTAGTTAACATTGATTTACTCAGATACAATGCACATAGTTATTATTTACCCTAATATGCATAATTCGAAAGCAGCACAACGGAGAGGGCATTTTATGAATTTTCGGGTACACGCCAATCTTGTCATTGTCGACCATGTCGTTTTCATGAGCAATGTTCATCTGCAAGAAACAAGATAAATCGGAAATTCCGGATAAAATGAAACGAAATTAGAAAATGGAAGACAAAGAAGCGGGCATTCAAAGCTCGCATAAACCAAAATTTGATTTATGAGCGCTGGAAACAAAAAAAAGCACACGCACTGGCGAGATTCCAGCTTCAGTAGTCATTGAGAAGGTCCATCCATATTTCAATTAATTTTTTCTTCGGCAACTGATTCATGGCTTTTCCATTGCGTTTTTTATTCAATCAAACGAACGCGGATTTGCGAGGGGGACTTTGGAGAGACCCTCGAAACACAGCCTATATCTTCAAAGAAATACTATCAAAATAGTTTATTTGAACTTTTGTCGGTCGGTTCAAATCGACGACGGCGAAATAATAGGCTCACGGCTACACAAACAAAACATCGACGCCGAAGAGGCATGGCTCAGCTGTGTTAGTGTAAAAAACTTGAAATTGGATTGGGGCGAGTTTGTTTCCAAAAAAAAAAATTCTACATGTAATAAAACGCGTCTCTACAATACCAATTCCATTAAGAAGTCGCGGAAGTGGAAACGTCGAATTTAATTGGACGCCTCACATCGAAAATGCGCGCCCTTCTTCGTTCTATTTTTTCTACTCGCTTGGTCCTTTTTTTACGACATGAAATCGAGCAACGAACAATTGTCTAGCAACCTGACAAGATGGGTGATTTCTTTGAACATCAGACATGACGAAAAACAAGGATTGTTGATTTGATAGAATTATGATGAAGCAGCTGGCACAACCCTCAGCACATTTTTCGTACATACTGACATAATAATGTCTATCGCATTTCTCATTTATACAGTGAAAAAGGTAAAACTATTTAAAAATACAAAATATTAGTTTGAGACCGAATTTAAAAAATGATGGGTCGAGTGAGCTAAAAGCATTCAGGGGGGTCAAGTTACATTAAAAAAGATCAGGTGTACTCAAAAGATCCCGATATGCTCGTTAGTCTCACCAAACGACCTGGGCGTGGTTTATTATAGTTTGACTTCAATCAATTTCGAGGATCATTCTATTTTAACCGCTGGGATATGGAGCAGCTCGTTGGCAGGCCATACATAATTCTTAAAGCCCTTTAAAGGACATTGGAGCACAAAATCACGCAAACAATAACCACTATTCATAAAATATTTGAATAATTAAGTATTTTCATTGGTTTGGAAAAAAAAAGATTTTTTTCACTGTTAATTGAAGATTTTAAGCTGCTTTAAAAAAAACTACTACAGAACCTGTCACTATATATATATATATATATAAAACATAATTGCCATAATAATGTTTTAAATGCGCTGTTTTTTTTAATGCTTACCTTAGCTCGAAGAGCTCGCAGAAACTGTACCAATCGTAGAAGAATATCAGATGCCATTGCAGATAATGCGTCTTTCATGTCTGCTCTGAGTAGGTGAAAATTTACGCTTGTTTTTGAGCTATATGAAGTCATGCTCCTTGATCACATGAAATTTAAATTGAAATGTCACTCATAATATCCAATTGCGGTGCCGAATACTTTATTTCATCATTTCGCAAAATAGAAAAAAATAAATTCATTGGGAATTGGATTGCAAATCGGTTACAGTACACCAATAGCAAGACAGAAATAAATCAAACAGACCAAAAAAAATGACAAAAATTTAACAAAAAAAATTGGGAATGTTTTGAGAGGGGGCGGGATTCGAAATAAAATAAAATATCAATATATGTATGAAGTAAGTACCCATAAAGAAGGAATTAAATGGGCAATTCTAACCGGACTTATTTTGAATGTAATTTTGAATGTGTGGACACCATTGAATTGGCTCATCAAGCGAACGATGACCGTCGATTCTCGCGCGTAGCTCAAACATGATTCCCATTGTAGTAATAATTTCATATGTCAACGCCTGAAAATTATTTCATTTTATTTATTTTCCAAGACACATGACTTTCGAGGGGAGCATAAAAATTCGAAGAAACCAGTTTTGTCTATCATCAATTTACTATTTGATTTATCAAACATATGCAAAACTACAGAATACATCAAAAAAAATTTTGCGCCAAGAAACAATATTCTATAATACCAAAATTCATTGTATATTCTTACCGATGTCAAAACACAAAATGTGTGGCATACAAATCTATTGTAGGATCCACGCGAAATGATACAGAAGAAGTTCAAATCTTTGCGATCCTGGCAAATCATTGAAATATTGTATACACCATGGGACGACTGAACGATCTATAATTCATAGGTTCCATAGATTGATTCGCTTTATATGAATTCCACCTGCTTGTTGATATCCATTATTCGAACACCATTAGCAGTTAGCTCAAGAGACACATATGGAATTCGATTCCAATCGCGAACATCACTTTTCGCTGACTGCATTGCTTGTATCGCTTGTGTAATTTGATCCTCAGTGATATCAGCTTCAGCAACTTGTCGCGCACCTAAATGATGCGCCCGAAAAACAATTCCATCTCGAAGTAATGCATTCTTTATCAAGGAGAAGTTTATCGACGGGCATTCTTCACATCTTGGTCTGAAACGAATCCAATGTTTTTTTATTTCCATTTAATTTTTTTTACTGTCTCGGTTGATGGTTGTAGCAGAGACGCTCAGCAGCAGATTCATTCGGGTATAATGAATACATGATTCTGTTCAGATGTCCAGGCAAATGGATCCCAATATTCTGAAAACTCTCATAATCGTTCAAATAGCCGCAATTTTCAATAAGTGATACCTTGAAGAACGCTTCAGTGAGATTCTCTTTCTTCAGCGTTTCAATTTTCTTGAAACCAGCTCCAATAATATTGGTTAGATAGTCGACAAGTTCTAGGCTGCACAGCCAATCGGACACATAGTAAAACGAATCTGAAAATATGAACATTTTATCCAAAATTTGGTTTTTCGAGTATATTCTCACCTGCTGGCTTTCTCTTATCTTCCATTTTTGCTATCGCGCTCATAATTAATTGCTGGTACGCGACGGCGATTCCCATTTTTGACATTGTGTCAAGATCTAGACTGCCCTTCTGCAAGCATTTTTTTGAAAGATGAGCTGAGATTTTTACTTACTAGTTGAGTATATTTGTCAAAGCCAAATTTGATCATTGTTGCTCCGATATCCTTGGCGTCCTGCTTACGAATTCCAACCACATTTTCTAGCCATTCGTACATGGAAATCTTGCAATTCGCCTGTTGAATAGCATCCGATTTTCCACCAAGATCGACGTGTTGCAGAGCGACCGCTTTTGAATCGGGATCGCAAAGGTAATTGGCAACATTGCTCTCATACTCTCTTATAAACACACTTTCTCTGCATGGCGCAATTCCAATACAGCTGAAAATTTTGTCAACCTGAAAAAAGCAAACATTTAACTATATTATTTCATCTTTAGAATGCTTACTTCATCCCAGTCCTTCTCCTGACCATCATTTCCCAAATTGAGATTGCTTGTCCCAATCTGTCGCCGAAGGCGCACACTCGTCGGGCGATCCATGTCAGCGCTACTTGGAGATGATGGCGACTTCTCCGACGTCTTCGACGATGAGCTTGGCGATTCCGATGATATGACACTTCCCGTTGAGCCAACCGCGTTTGATGTAGTGAAGAACGATCCAAATTTGGAATCAGAGAATGAAGAAGGCTGCAACCAAATGTTGACAAATAATTGTCATAGTTATATATATGTCTTACCTTTACTGTGCATAGCGTCTCAAAAATTGTGGCTTTTGAAGTATTTGGCGATGGCGGATTGCACGGATCGCGGCAGATTATCTAAAAATGTTACCATTTATAAATCGAGCTGTTTTATTATCTATAATTTACGGTAATGTCATCGTCCTTTTCTGGTGACCGAAACAACGCCGATCCAGTGATCTCTTCCGGCATCGCAAGTGGCGCGCGCCCATTTTCGACCGGTGTCTTCAGATCTCTTTCCAATGTCGAACACGCATATGTCAATGATGAAGTCACGCTGCTGGCACGAGTGTCCAGACGTGGGCTGTTGGTTAAACCAAGCGAGTCCTCACGATCACATGTCGTGCGCGACACTGCAAAAAAAAATGAGCTGATTATTTTAATTTCGAACATTTTCAACTTTTTCTTGTCACGTTTGCCTCTCTGACTGGGGTTCTTTCGAACGTTTCTGGAGAAATTGGCGTGCGAGACTTTTTATGTAAATCGGATGGCGCTGAAAATATTTCAATTTATCATTAAAAATTGCGGATTTCCCTAACTACTTGGTAGTGTTGAGTATCCATTTTGTTTCGCCATTTTCACCGACATATTTCGTGCACTCAACTGAGCTCTATCAAATGCAAAAGCTTCCTGTGGAATGTTGTCGTAAGGACCCGGAAGCATTGGCATAACAACACCATTGTTTAAGGTAGCCTGACTCTGCTTCCACTCATCATACAGTGGAGGATTTCCGCGATACGGCGAACTTTGTCCCGGAAGAATACAGCCTGAAATTTTCAGCGTTGTGCGTTAAAACGCTTAAAACTCCTAACCTCTTGGTGGTGATGGCTTTGTGCGATTTGCATTCAGCTTAGTCGGCAATGTGTCACTGCAACGACTATAAGCATTATGTCGACCATAGCTGAATGGATTTGTTTTCGGGAATCGCGGAACTCCAGTGACTTTATCTGAAAATCAATTGCATATAATTTCATGAGTTAAGATGATTTTTCAACATACCATACATAGAACTATTCCACGTTCTTGTAAGTGAACTATTTGGATAGGAAACCACCGAACAAGCGGAGTGCATACTCTGATCTGTTTGGATCTCATCGGATGACTCATTACTAAAAACTGCAGCAATCGAAGGAGGACGGTAAATCTGACGATTATTCTTTCGTTGATCCGGATAGTATTGGACGCTCGCTTCATTTGGAATCTGCTGCCAAATCGCTTCTTTTTCATTATCGCTTTGGCTTCCTTCAGTTTCGCGACCAGAATCGTGCCGTTCAAAGTCTGAAAACAAAAACCGTTGATCAGCATTGATGGTGGTTTGAAAATATCGGCTACCCTCAAGCATTTTTCTACATTTCGCCCATCCTTCGGGGTTCTTCAGAAAGCAAGCAATTTCCGATCTTCTACCGGATTGCAACTCAATTACAAGATCCAGCGCCGTATGACCATGTTGGTTGCGAATTTGCGGATTCGTTCCGTTTGTGAGAAGAAAGTCAACCGATTCAACCTGTCCGCAAGCAGCAGCAACGTGTAGAGCAGTCCCATCTTCTGTCGTGTAGTTAAGATTGAACCCTGCGTTCTTTAAAGCCTAAACATAATTTTTTATTCAAATTTCGTTTCCCACGCAATTCTAACCTCAAGGCATTTTACGTGATTATTTTTAGCTGCTAAGTGAAGTGGATAAATTGCTGGAATCGTTTTCTGACCAATCGATATTCCTCTCAAGCTTTCATATGCCGATTGGATCGGAAAATTTGGCCACATTTTACATAATAATATAATAGCTTCCGAATGGCCGATTCTTGCCGCAATATCTAACGCATTCTCTTTCTGATCATTGCGAATAAAAGGATCAGAATTTTTCTGAAATAATAATTGTCTAACAAATATTAGAATTCGATTACTTTTAGCAAATATTCGGCGACATGAAAATGTGAACGTTGAATGGCCAAATGAAGAGGAGATTCGTTAAATATATTAAGCGCGTTCACCAGATTGACTGGCTTCTCCTGGCGAAGTAGTATCATTTGCTGAAATTTAGACCTTTTGATGGAATAATGTAGATTTTGAGAAGTAAAACACCAAAACACCCTATGCGGCCTGCGGAATTAATTTTTGAAGGGAATTTCCTTATAGTACCTTTTTAAGATTTTAAAATGATAAAGAGCCAAAGAGAGTAAAAATAAAAGAGAAGGGGTTTTTTATATAACTATTAGATTACAATAGCCTTAGCTTCTTTGGTTATCTTCAAGACAATTTTTTTCTGATTCCTGCGATGAGCTTCACAATTTTATACCCAAATTACCTTGACAATCTCTAAGTGTCCATTCCATGCTGCAAGGTGAATCGGTAATATTTTCTTGAAGCCTTCACAAACTACCAGGAGGGGCTCATAATCCATTAATAGTCTGTAATCATGATAGATTGTTTTCATTATAATAATGTTCACATACTTGCTGATCTGCACGCGTCCTTCATATGATGAATGGTGCAACAATGTGTATTCGGACTTGTCGTCGCGATAGTGAAGTAACCAGTGTGTATCGCAAGAAGGTCGGAAAAAGCTTAGCCTATATAAATCGAGAATGGAAAATCATTGAACTCTCGACAAATTACTTGATTGGCACACGATTTTTCTTGACTTTGACGCTTGACAAGAATATCGCAATTTTATCGTAATCCCCATTTTTGGCAGCCTCGAAGACCTCAGATTTTTGAAAAATGAAATTGTGGTCTTTATCTTTGACACTCGGTTTACGCTCCATTCTGAAAATTATTGACGTTGAGTACGAGGGTCGAATAAGCGACGAGAATCACGACGAAAATTACAAAGTGAATCGTGTGGGAGGGCAAATGCGCGTGTGCAACGGATTGCGGAAAGCCCACCGCCCGGGTGCAAAAATGACAAGCGGTCGTAATTTGTGCATGTGTGGCGCATTTTCCGCTTCACCCTCAAAAATCGGGAGGCCCGCCAACAAACTCTTTTGGGTGCTGGTGAATGGTGGTCGTCGTCGTTGTATGATGGGCGCAACATTTTTTCGCGCGCTCACCAAGTGAGTAGCTCAGGCGGCGAGAGTGCTGAGTAAAATCTGATGACAGGAACCACAACAACACAACACAACTATTAGCTTAGTACTATGAAGATTTGTCGCATGATGTTATAATATATCGGAAGCTAGTCCCAACTGAAACTTTCATGGGACTTCCATGCAATAGAAAAGTGAAAGAAAATAAAACCAAAATTAAACACCTGGACATTTGCACATATACGCTATTCAATGCCCAAGATTCTCGAAGAAAAAAAAAACGAACAAGCACGAGTAGTGGGAAATACTTCCTTAAATGAGATTATTTGAATGCTGGAGAACAAATTTAAATGCAAAATTTCCGATTTTTTTTAAACATAAACGTATTGTTAAAATTCGATAAAGATATATGAAGAAAAAGTCCTGAATTATTTGCCGAATCAGTAGCAAGAAAGTTATTATCACCAAAACAGTGATAATGGCAATTTATCAAAGAGAAGAGGTTCCTCGAAAATAATCCGATTGATTGGCGAACATTCGTAACCATCAATTATTTTGGTGGGCGAAAACAAGTCGTCCAACAAATCATTTTCCAAATATAGAACTACATGGCAGTCCCCCAAACGCGCTCACAAATGTCGGCTAATTTATGAGCAACATTGCACCTTATTAAAGTGAGAAGTGAGCTGCGGAAAATCCATTAAAATGATTGCACGGCGATGAGGATTCGCTTTAAAACCGCTGATAAACGATTGATGAGACGGATGGGGGAAGGGAAGGGGGAGGAGGAGAACCGACTTGAAAAAAAAAGAGAATAAAGCAATTCGTGTTAACATTACAGCGGTTGAGCTCACGACGTCGAACGTTTCGGCGAATGTATGATAAGAATGCGGATTTGAGAGGGATTCCACCAAATGATACATAATAATAAAAATAATAACGGGTTCGTCCCGGAACGAACTGGTTCCCATGCATAATTAGAGAGTTGTATGAATGCAGTACATTCGTATTGACAACACTTACGATTTCAACAAACATCAAAACCGCTGATAGTGGGAAAAGGTAATAAAATCGCCACCAATGTGTCTCATTTATCAAGCCCATTCGTTCACGAGTGTAACACAGAACGGACAAATGGCAGGAATTCCAACAAAATAAACGAGCAAATTCTTGAAGTGTGATAGCGCGACGACACAACATTTCTTCCATGTTTTGAGAATTGTCGAATTCGACAATGCTCCGTCACTTGCTCAACTAAACATGCCGGACGAACAAAAAAAATCGGGACAAATATTAGGTGATGACGCGGTTAGAAAGAAGAAAAAAAAATTGTTTCGTGGAAATTTGAGAAGACATTCGTGTGCCGACAACACCAAAAACTGCTGCCTGTTTGCCGAGGCTCTATTCATATAATTTTTATAATCAAGTCGGTCGCCGGAATTCCGGCAACGCGAGAATAAATTCTGATTGCCCACCAAAATTCAGACAAAATATGTTTTTAATAATATTTCAGAAATTCGGTTCAGACCATCCGGAAAACCTCTAGGTATCTAAAAAATATATCATGTCTGGATTACTGTACCTACAGTTTAAAAAAATGACCAATAAGAAAAATGAAAAAGGGATTTCTTAATGTATATATAAGGCATCTCAGCTAGTGAATCATAATCCAGATAATCTGGTCGCACTGTGCACCAAAAGTAGCAACTAAAAATTAGAATAATCAATGTGAGACAATTTGTATTGAAAAAGATTAAGCTATTGTTCAACCACAATAAGTTTTGCAGTACAATCACTCTTTGTCTACAATTCCGTTCTTTTTTTCTATGAAAGGAAATGAAACAGGTAATGAATAGAATGGGGTTTTATAGAATGAAAACAATAAGAAAATCTTCCAAAAATTTTTTTGTTACTGCTTGAGTGAGAAAAACTTCAAGAACACATCAATGTAATCGAATGAGGTTTTCGGGCCAACAACTTTCTGTGGGGAAACGAGCCTAAAATGCCAATTTTTATTGCTATTCTAATATTTCAGACAAGTAGGAAAAACACAAAAATTTCACGAGGGGGACTAAAATTGCATTAATGCCTTAATCCCTTTTGTTAAGAAAATGAGAAAGAAAAAACTTTAGAGGTGCAAAAAAGAAAATTTCTTCAAATAAAAACAACAACAACCACAAGATTGGTCTAAACATCCATGCATGCATGTCAAGGAGGGGAGGGTAGTGTCTCTTCCGAAGAAAGACAAATGAGCGTTTTCTTTTGCTATAAATCACCTCTATACACCATACTAAAATAAAGGAAATGGCTCAAAAATAAAGAACCAGCGGAATTATTTTTTTTCTCTCTCTCTTTTCGACCGTTCCGTTCGCGCAATGCCATAAAATTCAAATGAGATTCCTCAAGCACCAATTATTTCACGCATGTTTGCTTATGAGGGTCATAATTGAAGGATGATGGTGCCAAAATGTTACTTTTCAAATCGAGCAAAAAAAATTGAAGACGAAGAAAAAAGCTGATTGCATGTATATTCCACATGGGACCAAAAATTCTTCTTCTGTTACTGAGCCTCTTCGTGGCGAAGAAGATAAACTGTTCATGCTCCTCTACATAACTGGGGATTTCGTCACCCCAGTGGAACATGCTCAGGCTAATCAGTACACTGTCCCACGCAGGCCGAGGGTAGAGTCGAATACTCCTCATCCGGGCGGCTTCGATTCGGCCTAGCAAGCCGGAAGAAGTAAACAGGGACCCAGTCCGCTAAAAACAGTATAAAGCAAAGAAATGTCCCGGACCCGAGCTCTGCCCCTGGATTGACAGTTACAGGACAAGCAGAACGGGAGCAATCCGGGCCTGATGGCAACTGTCTGGTCTCGGTTAATGGAAAATCGCCCCCAAAAACACGAAAAGTTCACTTCAGAATTGGCACTTTTAACTGTAGATCGCTCGCTACAGAAACCAGACTCTCTGAGCTCCTCAATGAACTCAATCGAATCAAATTCGATATCATTGGACTCAGTGAGACGAAAAGGCCAACTGAAGAGCATATGAAACACGTTGATGGGACAGCGATTTTCCTAGGCAAACGTCATGACACTTCTGTTGTAGGAGGGGTCGGCTTTGTAGTTCATAGCACCCTCGCTCCCCGTATAGAAGAAGTAAGATTTCTTAGCCACAGGATCGGCATGCTAACATTCAAGGTCGGAAATAAGCTTAAATGCACAGTCATGCAAGTTTATGCCCCAACCGCCGACGCCGATCCTGAAGAAATTGAACAATTCTATGACGCTGTGGAAGAAGCTTACCGTTCTTGTAGGAGCGACTACAAGCTAGTCATCGGTGACTTCAACGCACGCGTAGGGGCCAGAAGTAATGAGAATGAGCGGTTCATCGGAGTCAATTCGATGGAACCGCGCAATGACGCTGGTGAACTCCTCGCGACCTTCTGTGAAACAAACCGCTTATGGCACACAAACTCGCTTTTCCAAAAGCCAGCCCATAAGCGTTGGACCTTCATAAGTCCAGATGGCCTCTTCAAGCACGAAATCGATCACATCCTCGCCAACGGGAGGTTTGTAACAGATACTTCGGTGCTGCCATCATTCACAGTAGGAAGCGACCACCGCCTTCTCCGTGCGAACATCCACTTCAACATAAATTGGCTGAAGTACGATAAAAGCAGAAAGAGAAAGGCGCCGAAGAAAGTATTGGACCCGGAGATGGCTAAAACAATAAGCTCGATTGTTAGTCTTCCAGTAGCCAACAGCGTTGATGAAGATTACTCTAATCTAACAACGCTACTCAGGAAACTACAAGACCAAGCCATTGTTAAACCATCAAACCACCGGACCAATAGGATCTCTGTCGAAACACAACAATTGCTCTCGCGCAGACGAAACATGAGCAGGTCCGATCCCAATTTCAAGAACCTCTCAAAACAGTGCCGAGAAGCAATCGAACGAGATCACAAGGAGTTCACCAATTCCCGGTTACTAGGAGCAGCCGATCAACGCAAAAGCTTGAAGAGAGTAGCGCGAGACATGAACGAATACAAGTCACTGATTCCATGCCTCAAATGCTCTACTACAGGCAGAACTCTCACCTCTAGAACAGAAATGGAGAAGGAAGTGGAATCGTTTTACACGAAGCTCTTTGCGAGTAGAGCCCCACAAGCGCCTACGCCTACGACAACGCAAGTCAAGGATAGGCCCCTTCCATTTCTACGAGAGGAGATCGTTTCGGCACTTCGGTCCTTCCCAAATGGGAAATCAGCTGGTAGTGATAAAATAAGCGCAGACTTCCTCAAATGCTGCCACGAAAACACTATCACGCTGATAACGGACCGATTTAACCGCTACCTAGAAACCGGATCAATACCGAGACTGTGGACCAAGTCAGAGACAACTATCATCTTCAAGAAAGGTGATAGATACTCCCTGGAGAACTACAGGCCAATCACGGTACTCCCTGTTCTATACAAGGCTTTCACAAAATGCATCTTGAATAGAATCAGGAGTAAACTAGAAGCCAATCAACCTGTAGAACAAGCTGGGTTCCGCAAGGGCTTCTCAACAGTGGATCACATCCACTCTGTCCAAAGACTGCTAGAAGTGGGACGAGAATATCAAATCCCACTCACACTTGTCTTCGTTGATTTCAAGAAGGCGTTCGACAGTGTTGAGCATTCAGCAGTGTGGCAGAGCCTAAGAGACCAAGGCGTTGAAGAAGCGTATATCCAG